ATTTTTAATTAATCGATCGTCTTTTTTTTAGTTAAACGTCAAAATTGAAATGGGGATATCTCGGGAACTATTTAAGATAACTTGGTCGTGTTTGGGCTCAAATTAATCGGATTTTTATGTAGATTAAGAAAATTATAATAATTTTAAAAAATTATTAATTTTTAATTAATTAATTCTGATTTTTCCTTTTTTGTAGAACTTTTTAAATCATTAAAAACCAACTTTTCTCTTTTTAAGGAAACAAAATCCCACTTGTAAATACGATATGGAAGTTTCGACAATTTATTTTCGATTTCACTTAATACAACTTCACCTAAAACTTCATTTTTGGTTATTTTTGATGATTTCAATCGACGCGGATTAAAAAATCCTTTAAAATGAGTCCAAACACCACATAGTTATCTTAATTAGTTCCCGAGATATCGCGATTTTTAATTAATCGATCGTCTTTTTTTTAGTTAAACGTCAAAATTGAAATGGGGATATCTCGGAAATTATTTAAGATAACTTGATCGTGTTTGGACTCAAATTAATCAGATTTTTATGTAGATTAAGAAAATTATAATAATTTTTATAAATTATTAATTAATTCCGATTTCTTCTTCTCTGTAGAATGTTTTAAATCATTAAAAACCAACATTTGCTCTTTTAAGAGAACAAAATCCCACTTGCAATTACGATATGGAAGTTTCGACAATTTATTTTCGATTTCACTTAATACAACTTCACCTAAAACTTCATTTTTTGTTATTTTTGATGATTTTAATCGACGCGGATTAAAAAATGCTTTAAAATGAGTCCAAACACCACATAGCTATCTTAATTAGTTCCCGAGATATCGCGATTTTTAATTAATCGATCGTCTTTTTTTTAGTTAAACGTCAAAATTGAAATGGGGATATCTCGGGAACTATTTAAGATAACTTGGTCGTGTTTGGACTCAAATTAATCAGATTTTTACGTAGATTAAGAAAATTATAATAATTTTTAAAAATTATTAATTCCTAATTAATTAATTCCGATTTTTCCTTTTTTGTAGAACTTTTTAAATCATTAAAAACCAACTTTTCTCCTTTTAAGGGAACAAAATCCCACTTGCAATTACGATATGGAAGTTTCGACAATTTATTTTCGATTTCACTTAATACAACTTCACCTAAAACTTCATTTTTGGTTATTTTTGATGTTTTTAATCGATGTGGATTAAAAAATCCTTTAAAATGAGTTCAAACACCACATAGCTATCTTAATTAGTTCCTGAGATATCGCGATTTTTAATTAATCGATCGTCTTTTTTTTAGTTAAACGTCAAAATTGAAATGGGGATATCTCGGGAACTATTTAAGATAACTTGGTCGTGTTTGGACTCAAATTAATCGGATTTTTATGTAGATTAAGAAAATTATAATAATTTTTAAAAATTATTAATTTTTAATTAATTAATTCCGATTTTTCCTTTTTTGTAGAACTTTTTAAATCATTAAAAACCAACTTTTCTCTTTTAAAGTAATAAAATCTCACTCGGAATTACGATATGGAAGTTTCGCTTTACACAACTTCACCTAAAACTTCATTTTTAGTTATTTTTGATGATTTTAATCGACGCGGATTAAAAAATGCTTTAAAATGAGTCCAAACACCACATAGTTATTTTAATTAGTTCCCTAGATATTGCGATTTTTAATTAATCGATCGTCTTTTTTTTAGTTAAACGTCAAAATTAAAATTGGGATATCTCGGGAACTATTTGACATAACTTAGTCGTGTTTGGGCTCATTTTAAAGCTTTTTTCGCGAGGATTATGAAAATCGAGATGATTCATTGATTTGGTTTGGCTGAAAAATTAATGAAATTAAAAAAAATTGTTATTGAATTTTTTATTGTGTTCGACATTGACGGGGAAATTCCAAAGTGCAAAACATGGATATGAGGAGGAATTCCTATTAAATATTCTTTGGAATTTAAAGGTTTCGCGAAGGTTTTTATATAAATACGAGTTGATTGTGTTATGTGTTATCATTGAATAAAATTGCTTTAAAATGAAGTCGATTTTGATGTTGTTGGTTGTAGTTTGCGTTGCATCAGGTAAAAATTGTTTTTTTAACTATTAATTAATTAATTAATTAATAATTTTTTTAGCTGCAACTCATCACCGTAACAAAAAACATCATTTTAAACGAGATGGTGGTTCTTATGATACTTGTGTAATTGGAGATGGTTGTTATGAGGGATGTACTATATCATATCCAAGTTGCCCCAACCCAAACAACAAAAGATCCAATGATGACTCAGGTTATTACAATTATTGTGATTGTGAATGTGACGACACCACTCAAAACTCATATCAAGACGACACAACAACAACTCCAATTCCTGATGATGTCACGGTGAAACGTGCGAAACACCACCCCGCTAAAAAACACCACCACGCCAAAAAACACAATCAACACGAAACCAAAATTCACAATTAATTACAATTTTTAACGTTGTTAAGAAAAACCCAACGAAATAATGAAATAAAATAAATCTTAACAACAAATTTAATTTTTTTAATTTAAATTTAATCTTATTGAATTCCCCGCCAAAAATCCTTTAAAATGAGTCCAAACACGACATAGTTATCTTAATTAGTTCCCGAGATATCGCGATTTTTAATTAATCGATCGTCATTTTTTTAATTAAACGTCAAAATTGAAATGGAGTTATCTCCGAAACTATTCAAGATAAATATGTCGTGTTTGGACTTAAATTTTTCGTTTTTCCACGCTGATTACGATTACGTTAATGATTTTATTGAAATTTATTAAAAAAAAAAAAATGAGTCATTGCGACATTGACTGAAAAATTTCAAGGAGAAAAATGTTAAAATAACGTTTGGAATGTGGAGGTTTCGCAAACGTTTGTATATAAATGAGTTGGCGGATTTAGGTTGCTTCAGTAAATGTAAACTAAAACAAGTTAAATTGTTTAAAAACAAGAAAGAAAATGAAATTAGCTTCGATTTTAATTTTATTTTTTGTGGTTTGCGTCGTTTCAGGTAAATTAATTTTTATTAATTTCTTTTTGAATAATAGTAATAACGAAAATTTAGGCGCATCACATCAACACCATAAAAAGAAGGACCATTCTAGCAACAAAAAACATCATTTGAAGAGAGATGGAGATAACTTATCTCAATCATGTACAGTTTGCGAAAATTGCAACCCTGGGGATACAATAACTTACGAAATTCCAGAATGTAATGACAGCGGTGATATTGGGACCGGCGGTGACGATGGTGGGGAAGCTGATGGGGATGATGTTGACCAAGAAGGGGAAGAAACTAGGGGCATTAATGAATCTAAACGTGATTCTCGTAATTGTTGTCAATGCGAGCGTAAGGACGAATCGACTCCGGTCTCCAATCAAATACCAGAATCAGACCCAACACCATCAAATGAATCGAAACGCCATTCCTTGAAAAAACACCATTACACCAAAAAGCACCAAACCAAAAATCATCATTAAAACTTATTAATCGAATCTTTTACCTTGTTAACGATTGGTTAATTGATAAATAAATGATTTTCAAAGAATTATTATAATTTTCGTAATCTACATAAAAATCCGATTAATTTGAGTCCAAACACCACATAGTTATCTTAAATAGTTTCCGAGATATCCGCATTTCAATTTTGACGTTTAACTAAAAAAAAGACGATCGATTAATTAAAAATCGCGATATCTCGGGAACTAATTAAGATAGCTATGTGGTGTTTGGACTCATTTTAAAGCATTTTTTAACCCGCGTCGATTAAAATCATCAAAAATAACCAAAAATGAAGTTTTAGGTGAAGTTGTATTAAGTGAAATCGAAAATAAATTGTCGAAACTTCCATATCGTAATTGCAAGTGGGATTTTGTTCCCTTAAAACGAAAAAAATTGGTTTTTAATGATTTAAAAAGTTCTACAAAAAAGGAAAAATCGGAATTAATTAATTAAAAATTGATAATTTATAAAAATTATTATAATTTTCTTAATCTACGTAAAAATCCGATTAATTTGAGTCCAAACACGAGCAAGTTATCTTAAATAGTTCCCGAGATATCCCCATTTCAATTTTGACGTTTAACTAAAAAAATGACGATCGATTAATTAAAAATCGCGATATCTCGGGAACTAATTAAGATAACTATATGGTGTTTGGACTCATTTTAAAGGATTTTTTAACCCGCGTCGTTTAAAACCATCAAAAATAACCAAAAATGAAGTTTTAGGTGAGTTTTATTAAGTGAAATCGAAAATAAATTGTCGAAACTTCCATATCGTAATTGCAAGTGGATTTTATTTCCTTAAAAGGAGAAAAGTTGGTTTTTAATGATTTAAAAAGTTCTATAAAAACGGAAAAATCGGAATTAATTAATGAAAAATTAATAATTCATAAAAATTATTATAATTTTCTTAATCTACATAAAAATCCGATTAATTTGAGTCCAAACACGACCAAGTTATCTTAAATAGTTCCCGAGATATCCCCATTTCAATTTTGACGTTTAACTAAAAAAAAGACGATCGATTAATTAAAAATCGCGATATCTCGGGAATTAATTAAGATAACTATGTGGTGTTTGGACTCATTTTAAAGGATTTTTTAACCCGCGTCGACTAAAACCATCAAAAATAACCAAAAATTAAGTTTAGGTGAAGTTGTATTAAGTGAAATCGAAAATAAATTGTCGAAACTTCCACATCGTAATTGCAAGTGGGATTTTGTTCTCTTAAAAGGAGAAAAGTTGGTTTTTAATGATTTAAAAAGTTCTACAAAATAGGAAAAATCGGAATTAATTAATTAAAAATTAATAATTCATAAAAATTATTATAATTTTCTTAATCTACGTAAAAATCTCATTAATTTGAGTCCAAACACGACCAAGTTATCTTAAATAGTTCCCGAGATATCGCCATTTCAATTTTGACGTTTAACTAAAAAAAAGACGATCGATTAATTAAAAATCGCGATATCTCGGGAACTAATTAA